CACCCGAGGCCTGGGTTGTAGACGGAAACGGCTGCCGGCAGGGGGGTCACTGCTCAGCGCACTCAGGGTGAGCCCCGGTGGACGGGAGACCAGAGTTCAGTGGGCCACGTGCTGCGGGTCCCCTGTGGCATGCACGTGTCGTGTATGGCGGGCACCTGCCAATGCCCCACGACGTCCCCAATGCCCCACCCCACAAGAAGGGATGCCCTGTAGCGCGATCCCAAAGTCCATGTGCTCAGCCACGCGGCAGCGCGCCTAGCGCGGTCCCCACGGACCCGTCACTCAGATGTGCCTCTTCAGGCGCTGGGGGAGGGCCGCACCGCCAGCCTCCAGCAGCACGAGATCCTCAGGGTGGGTCACGTGTCGCCCCAGGGCGACCAGGGCGGGGCAGAGGCTGACTTTACCTCTCGGCGGAGAACAGTGTCACACCGGACAGCAAGGCCAGGCGGCGTTCCGCTCATTCCCTGTGGCTGGCTCGGGGCTGGATGGGGACCTCCAATCCTTGTCTCGGGAAAACTCAGTTTTAGGGGTCGCATGGAATCTGAGTAGAAATCGGGTACCAGGTACTAGGAGGGGTGACCTAACTGAAATAATCTTAAAAAGATGAGAGTCAGAATTGGAGCTCTGCAGAACAGGCTCCTTTTAGCAAAATTTTAAAAAGATATGATTTAGAGCAGCGGTCCCCAGCCTTTGCGACACGAGGGACTGGGGCTCCCATGAGAATCTGGTGCCTGAGGATCTGGGGGGAGGGGGCTGGCGCTGGGGAGTGGCTGCAAACTCAGGTGGAGCTTTGCTCGCTCACCTGCCACTCACCTGCCGTGTGGCCGGGTTCCTAACAGGCACAGGTCTGCGCCTAGGGGTTGAGGACCCCGATTTAGACTAGAAGTAGATAGAGATTCGGACATTTTTTGTGAGTTGCTGCGTTGCGTCCCCTGGTGGCGGTAACGGGAGCGGTGGCCGAGACGCATCTCGATCACAGGGACAGCGCCGGTTTAATAGGATAGGTGGCAGACCCCGAATTCGAAATGGGATTGCACATGAAACATTTCTGGTCTTTCTAAAAATAGGAAACGTCTCGCTAAACGAGAATCAGATGCATTAGCTTCAGCCTGCAAGGTGCATATTTCAATTTCCCCTGCTTTGTCCTAAAATGGATTCGCTCCGTGAAGTGTCAGCTGAACTTGAAATTACATATTTGCTCTACATGCGCTGACTAGCGGACCCCTGAAGGTCACTGCTCACGCGCAGAACCCCTCCCAGGCCAGGCGGCACGCAGCGTGTCGCGTGTGCTATGCCATGCCGTGCCTTCAGGGCGCCGTTCTCACTGCTGACGACCCAGATGGTCACTTCCAAGAAGGCTTTGGGGGAAAAATTCTAAATTTTATAGTTCGGTCTTCAATCAAAACAGCCAGACATAGGGTTCAGTGTGGCTTATACCGAGGGCTTCTGAATAAGGTTTTCCTCTCTTTGGGGGCAAAAGGAAAGATGAGCGTGAAGGTCCGCAGCTCCTAGAACGTTCGCCGATGTTGCGTGTGGGAAATGCGTGGCAACTGAGCTGGACTAGAGAAACCTGGCCTCAGTGGCTGCTGTTTGGTCGCGGGAGAGAAATGGCTATTCCTTAAGTAGACATAAGTGATTACCAGGCGACCGGTGCTCCACTATAGGTGATTAAAAACAGACATGGTCACGGGCCCCAAGAAGCTCAGGTCGAGCAGGGCAGGAGACGCGTAAGAAACCGCAATATAATGGTTCGAATTCGAGTGAAAATGAAGACGGGAGAAAGGAAGTGGTGACGAAGCTTTAAAAGGTGTCACAGTCGTAGGAGGCCACGGGCGCCGTAGGCCTCTGCTTCCCGAATGGTTTCAGGCGAGTGGCCAGTGATCCCAGCAAACCCCGAAACCCAGCTCCACAAAGACGTGGCGTCGCTGGGGAGGTGGCTGACCTGTTGAGACTGAACCGCCCGCGTGGCCGGCAGTGTCCAGCAGTGAGCGGCTGCCGCTGCCCCTCTGCCATTTAGCGTACGGTCCCCTCGCGTTCACTGTGGCCCGGCAGCGCGCACAGGAGCCGAGCTACCGGGCACCGAGGCCGCCGTGCCACGTCCGCACCTCACAGCGCCACAGCGCCCCTGCGAGTCTGCCTAGAAACGAAGGTGCCACTGCACCCTGGGCAGGTGTGAGAGGGACGCTTGGGGACATCGCCCCACGGTTCGCACTAAGTAGGCAGACACAAGGGAGCGGCATGCTGGCAGAAGGTGGGGGTGGACGAGTCCCTTTTCCAGCGTGGGTCAGAGGGCACTCGGTGACTCGGCAGAGCGGCGTGTTCGCGAGTCACGCCTGAGGCCCGCAGGCTCCGTGGCCGCCCCGTTTCATCTCCTGCATGAAAAACAGGGTCTGAAAGGGACATCGGCCTCGCCACACTGTCCCGAGGTCCAGCACGTCACTGGCTACTGGATGCACAAGACCGACGTTCAGGAGAGGTGACGAGTAATTACATGCACGTGATGGGAAAGTCGGCACCTGTTTTAATTCAGCAGCCACAGGATAGGGCCACGGTGTCGAGGTCAAGGGCAAAGGCCGGGAGAACGCACGCTTCAGGGCAGGGTGAGCAGGAGGTGGTCTGGTGGGCGCCACTGAACAGGACAGCCCAGAGGTCCGGGACCAGGTGGTGGCACCAGACAGGGAGGCCATAGTCTGCACTCCCCTGACTAGTGACGTCTCTCTCTCGTCACATGCCTCGTTGGCCGCTTGTGCCCTCTGGAGAAATGCCCATTCCGGTCCTCCGCCTAGTTCTCAGAGTAGTTTTTTTGGCATTAACTTCTGAGTTGTTTTGGATATTAACCCCTTAGCAGACGCATCACTGGCGAGCATCTTCCCCCAGTCCGTAGGTTGTCATTTTGATGGTTTGCTTTGCTGTGTACTTTCCAGTTTGCTGTCGTCCCATTTGTGTTCCGTGTCCGTCGCCCTGGGAGACACATCTAGAGATGCTGCTCAGAGCAACGCCGGAGGGTTTACTGCCTGATTTCTGGTTTTGTGGTTCCGGGTCTTTAATCCGGTTATTTTGTGCGTGGGGTAAGAAACTGGTCCGATTTCATTTTTGGACACATCCGTCCAGTTCGCTAGCACCACTTAAAGAAGACACGCTTCACCCCATCGTGTAACCCTGGCCCCCTCCATCTCGGACTGACTGACCTTCTAAGCTAGGATTTATTTCTGGGCTCCCCGTTCACTGATCTGTCAGAATGCCAGTACCAGGCTGTTCTGACTACCGTAGCTCTGTAGCACACTTTGGTATCAGGGAACGTGATACCTCCCCCTCTGCCCTCCTGGTTCCATGGAAATTTTAAGGTTCATTGTTCTAATTCTGAGAACGTATTTGAATAGGGAGTGCACTGAATCTGCAGAGTGCTTAGGTAGTGAGGACTGAGTAATTTTTATCTAAGGTAGTAATTTTAATAACGTTAATCCTTCTAATCCGTAAGGTATAGCCTTCCATTTATTTTTCTTCAATGTCTCATGATTTTCAAAATATAGTTTAAATTTATTCCTAGTTATTTTATGCTTTTTGATGCAATCATAAGTGGGCTGTTTTTCTGATTTCTCCTGACCGTTCGTTTCTGGTGTATGGAAATGGAGCTGGTGTCCGTGCAGCCCCAAGACAAGGCGGAGCAGGTGTGAACAGGTGCACAGCTTTATTCATGTCTGCATCAAATGTGCTCTTACAAAGTGGTAGCCTGTGAGGACGTGACCGACGATTGGGCCGACATGATTTGGTGCCTCCGATACCGCCATTAACTTTGACCCCCGTTCAGTTCCAAACCAGACTAGAGCGGGGAG